GGGTGAGCGTTTGGGGGTGCAGGGTAGTAGGGGGGGGGGTCCGGTTCAGGGTCCTATAGTGGTAGTCCCTCTCCGGTTCGGGAAGTAGAGCCACGGGGAGGAGGGGGAGGAGGGGGAGGTCCCGGCAGCGCCGCTCCAGGTCAGGGAGCTCGGGAGAGAGCGGGTCTAGCGTTCCCAGGGGTGGTCGGCGGGGACGTATGCCCGGGGAAGACAGGAGGAGCCGTAGCCCTAGGGGCTCCCGCACGCGGCGCGTGCAGGGGGCACAGTGGGAGGCTTTGGCAATGGGCAGGCGCTCCCAGGGTCGGGACGGGGGGGATGCGAATACTCAGGGCACCCTACCCAGGACTTCTTCTCCTCTTTCCAGGTCACGGAGCTGTTCCATATCGACACGGGCAAGGCACCGGTTTGGCTCCCCGGTTGGCGAGGTATCGGCGGGAGTCGCTCTCCCTGGACATCCAGGCAGTCGACGACGCAGCCCCTGCCGCGTCAGTTGCAGGGGCTTGGCCGGTGAGTCTTGTGGGTCACTACACTCCAGTTCCTTAGTTAGCACACTGCAAGCACTGCTCCACTCGCTGGGGGCGGGGGGTGACACGGGGGGTGGCGTTGGTCGGGTTTGGGCCCCGGGGACGGAGGTCCCTGGTCCTAGTGGGGTTTCCGTGGGGCTTAGTTCGGGCGGGGACGTGGGGGTGGCGCCCGAGGCGATGGCGGCCGGGGGTGACAAGGCGGAACTGGCCGGGGGTATTCCGGACGCAGCGAGGCAGCACGCATACGTCTCGTTTGCGGGCCCCCTGGGGGTTCATCTGAAACAGGACGTGAAAGAGAAGCTCTGGAAAGGTGAGTTTTGCGAGATCTTCTCCCTGCTCCCCTTGGAGGACTTTATTGACCTCAAGGAGGAGGATAAAAAGGATGAAAAGAAGGAGGAGGAGGAGGAGAAGAGGAAGCGGTATCGCAAGATTCCGAAATCCTTTGGCAACTGGTTACGGGCGTTTTGCGTGCTAGCTAGCGTGCTGGGGGAAAAATCGCCGGGATTATGCTCGTCCCTGTTCTGCTACCTGGACGGCATTTGGGAAGCATATCGCACCTATGGGGGCTGGCATGGTGGCGATACGATGAACAGTTTAGGCAGCGACTGGCGGCTAACCCGGGGATGAGGTGGGATCAGATGGATCTGCCCCTCTGGATGAAGCTAATGATGGCCCAGAAGGCGCAGCCCTTTCCAAACTCGGCCGGCGCGAAGGGGCAGTCCGCCTCGTCGGCCGCTTTGCAAAAGGGCTTCTGCTGGCTCTACAATGAGGGCCAGTGCAAATGGGGAAACGCGTGTCGATTTAAGCATGAGTGCTCCGGTTGCGGGGGTGCTCATGGGCTCAATCGCTGTTTCAAAAAAGGGAAGGCGGGAACAGCCGGAGCGGCTGCCGGGGCCGGAGGGAATGCTTCCCCTGCCCCGGGGCTTCACGCCGGTGAGGCTAGACGCGATGGAGCCGTGGCTAAGCCGCTACGGTAACAGGACTGATGCCTCGGTACTTAGGGAAGGCTTCGGGCGGGGTTTCTTTATTCCCTTCCGGGAGCGGGGGGGTTCGGGGGGGTTGCGCAACCTGAAGTCGGTGGCGGATTTCCCGGGGGTGGTACGGGAGAAACTAGACAAGGAGGTTGCGCTGGGGCGGATGGCGGGCCCGTTTGCGGTGCCCCCATTGGAGGACCTACGGGTTTCCCCTCTTGGGGTGGTGCCAAAGAAGGAGCCGGGGAAATTCCGGCTCATTCACCACCTCTCCTACCCAAAAGGGGAGTCGGTGAATGACGGTATTGATAAGGACCTATGCTCGGTCTCGTATGCATCATTCGACCGGGCGGTCGAGCTGGTTAAACGGGCCGGGCATGGGGCACTTATGGCAAAAGTGGATATTGAGGCGGCGTTTCGGCTGCTGCCAGTCCACCCGGACTGCCACCACCTGTTGGGATGTTTTTTCGAGGGAAAATATTTCGTGGACTTGTGCCTCCCTATGGGCTGTTCTATTTCATGCTCCTATTTCGAGAAATTTAGTACTTTTCTCGAATGGGTGGTGCGGGTCGAGGCGGGGAACCGTTCGGTGGTGCACTACCTGGACGATTTCTTTTGCGTGGGGCCGGCTGCCTCCTCGGCATGCCAGCAACTGCTTAGGACCGTGGAATGGGTGGCGGGCCACTTTGGGGTGCCGCTGGCAGCGGATAAGACGGAGGGCCCGACGACGTGCCTTAGTTTCTTGGGGTTAGAAATAGATTCTATCTTGGGTGAATGCCGACTGCCTCGGGACAAGTTGGAGGGGCTCAAGGGGGCGGTAGCTGCGGTGACCGTTGCGCGCAAAGTTACGCTGCGGCAACTGCAGTCGCTAATAGGGATGCTGAACTTTGCATGCCGTGTAATTCCTATGGGGAGGGTTTTCAGCCGCAGCCTGGCGGCTGCTACGGCAGGAGTTCGATCCCCGCATCATTTCATACGGGTGTCAGCAACCATGAGGGCTGATTTGGGCGTGTGGGATGCCTTCCTGCAGGATTTCAACGGGACGGTGTTTTTCAGGCGGGCGGGTAAGTCGGCGGCGGAGTTGGAGCTCTTCACGGATGCTTCGGGTAGTGTGGGCTTCGGGGCCTACTTTGGCGGGAGATGGTGCGCGGAGCGGTGGCCGGAGGCATGGGGGTCTAGCCCAGTCATGCGCAACCTGGCTTTTCTGGAATTATTCCCGTTGGTCGTTGCAATGGCACTATGGGGCGAGGGGCTCCGGGACCAGAAAGTGGTCTTTTTCTCGGACAACATGGCGGTGGTGCATGCGGTGAATAATCAATCGGCTGCCTCTAAGCCGGTGGTTAGGTTGCTGCGGCGCTTTGTGTTGATGTGTATGTCACGGAATGTTGTGTTTCGCGCGCGTCATGTCCCTGGGTACCTGAATGAGGTGGCTGACGCTCTGTCTCGTTTTCAGTGGTCCCGATTTTGGTCGATGGCGCCAGGAGCATTGAAGGAAGGGGAGGCTTGCCCGGACGAGATATGGCAGCTGGGAGCGTCCTGCTTGGGGGACTTGTGAAGGCTTCACTGGCACCGGCCACATGGGCCTCCTACAGTAAGGTCTGGGACTCTTGGGAACGATCATTAGACGGGTTGGAGCATGGCTTACGTGGGGATGCGCTGCGGGACGCTTTTCTATGGTACACCTGCCAATTGCTGGCAAAGGGGGCGTCCCCGGCAGTGGTCGACAGGTCCATGGCGGCAATGGCGTTCTGGTTCCGATGGCGCGGGTCGGAGGATCTGACTAAGACCTTCCTAGTACGGCAGGCGCTGAAGGGTTATCGAAAGGGCCGCAGGACCTGTGACTCTAGGCGCCCGGTGTCGGTACGGGTATTGGGGGATCTGGTGGGTCGGTTGCCGGAAATTTGTTTCAACGGGTTTGAGGTCTCTCTGTTCAGAGCGGCTTTTCTCTTGGCATTTTTCGGGGCGTTCCGCGTGGGGGAGCTGGTGAGTGCCAGTAGGGTGGTGCCCGGGGGTCTGCAGGCCTCAGGGGTTCGTGTTTTGGAGGGTAAGGTGGTTGTGCATCTGGGTAGTTCTAAGACGGACGTCCGTGGCGTGGGTAGGGACGTTACGCTATGGGCTCTGCCGGGCGCAGCATTGTGCCCGGTGGCTGCAGTGGCGGAGTACATGGCTCGGAGGCCGGCGGTGGGGGGTTCCTTCTTGGTACATGCGGATGGTTCTTCCCTGTCCCGGTTTCAGTTTACAAAGGTTTTTCGGGCCGGGCTAGGTAAGTTGGGGCTTCCGGCCGGACGTTTTGGTACTCACTCCTTTCGCATTGGGGCGGCCACGGTTGGGATTAGGAGATGAGGTCGTGAAGCGCATAGGGAGATGGGAGTCGGTGCGGTTCCGCTCATATGTGCGGTTGGGCTTATTGGAATAAAAAAAAAAAAAAGGGAAAAGGCAGGTATATGTTTATATATGTGTATGTATAGATATGGTGCGGGGGCGGACATGGACGGAGGAGTCCTCTTTTGCCTTTCCCTCATGCTTGTTTTCTTCTTCTCCCCAGGACGGGTTGCTTGGATTGTGGGACATTCTTTTGTCTTCTGGGCCGAGAGGAGGGCCGCAGCTCGAATGCAGGGCCAGCAGCTGGGCTTTCCGAAGGACCAGTTGACAGTCCGATGGTTTGGGTACAGGGGATTTTGCTGGGGGGAGGTTTGTGGGGCAATGTTTAGGATGGTGGTGGGCGGGAGGACACCGGACATGGTGGTCCTTCATGCTGGGGGTAACGACTTGGGCCTCACGCCACAACGTCGGTTGGTAAAGTGGATGAAGCAGGACATCAACAAATTGAGGGACCTGCTTCCGGGGGTTATGTTAGTGTGGTCGGAGATTGTCCCAAGGCGTCGATGGCGGCACGCGCGGGATCCGGTGGCGATTGATCACTGCAGGAAAAAGGTGAACAGCTTAATGGCGAGCTTCGTTAGGAAGATGGGAGGTGTGGTGGTACGGCACAGCGAGTTGGAGGAGGGGTTGCCGGGGTACTACCGCTCGGACGGGGTTCACCTTTCGGAGGTGGGTTGGGATCTGCTCAACTTGGGTTGGCAGGTTGGTATGCAGCGGGCGCTGTTTCTTCGGGGTGGCGGAGCTCAGACGGCTTAAGGGGTCAAGGTCTGAGCTTATGGCGGGACGGGGAGCTGAAGGAGAGGAAATAGGCTCCCCAGGATGAACGTAATGGAAGACAAACAAGTGGTGGTCATTGGTGGTTGATAGGTTTCGAGTCCTGTCGGTGGCTCAGAACCTGGTGGGGTAGGGGTATCCGGGTATACCCCTGCCGTGGTTAATGGATGGTTGGCACTTTACATCGATTGGAATAATGTTGATGTATGCTATATATATATGTTTATTTATATGGGGGTCATTGCCCTTTATATGTTAATGGAAGGAATAGGATGCGAGGGCGGAGTATGGGGGGCAATGACCCATGTTTACTTGTTAAGTTATTATTATGATTATTATTGTTATTATTATTGTTTGCTAAATAAAGCTGTGGACATATTTCCCCATATCCTCTAGTATGTGCGTTATTGGGTTGGGTTATGGGGTGGTTGTCCTGGATTCCGACTGCCCAAAATGGCGACTATACACCTGTCATGTAGCCCCATGTAGCCAAGCGCAGCTAAGCGGAAAAAGGCCTTGACAGGGGTTAGGAGGCGGGCCTAGGAGGAAGTAAGCAAGGGAGTGGAGTTATGGGTAAGTGGGTTTGGTTATTTAAATGGGCAGCCATTTTAGTTAATTCATTTTAACTTCCTACCTGGTTAAGTTTGTCCCTCCCACCCTCCCTGTTTTGTTATGTGTGGTTTTGTCCCGTTTTTTCACAGCGGCGGGACGGGGAGCTGAAGGAGAGGAAATAGGCTCCCCAGGATGAACGTAATGGAAGACAAACAAGTGGTGGTCATTGGTGGTTGATAGGTTTCGAGTCCTGTCGGTGGCTCAGAACCTGGTGGGGTAGGGGTATCCGGGTATACCCCTGCCGTGGTTAATGGATGGTTGGCACTTTACATCGATTGGAATAATGTTGATGTATGTTATATATATATGTTTATTTATATGGGGGTCATTGCCCTTTATATGTTAATGGAAGGAATAGGATGCGAGGGCGGAGTATGGGGGGCAATGACCCATGTTTACTTGTTAAGTTATTATTATTATTATTATTGTTATTATTATTGTTTGCTAAATAAAGCTGTGGACATATTTCCCCATATCCTCTAGTATGTGCGTTATTGGGTTGGGTTATGGGGTGGTTGTCCTGGATTCCGACTGCCCAAATGGCGACTATACACCTGTCATGTAGCCCCATGTAGCCAAGTGCAGCTAAGCGGAAAAAGGCCTTGACAGGGGTTAGGAGGCGGGCCTAGGAGGAAGTAAGCAAGGGAGTGGAGTTATGGGTAAGTGGGTTTGGTTATTTAAATGGGCAGCCATTTTAGTTAATTCATTCTAACTTCCTACCTGGTTAAGTTTGTCCCACCCACCCTCCCTGTTTTGCTATGTGTGGTTTTGTCCCGTTTTTTCACAGCGGCGGGACGGGGAGCTGAAGGAGAGGAAATAGGCTCCCCAGGATGAACGTAATGGAAGACAAACAAGTGGTGGTCATTGGTGGTTGATAGGTTTCGAGTCCTGTTGGTGGCTCAGAACCTGGTGGGGTAGGGGTATCCGGGTATACCCCTGCCGTGGTTAATGGATGGTTGGCACTTTACATCGATTGGAATAATGTTGATGTATGTTATATATATATGTTTATTTATATGGGGGTCATTGCCCTTTATATGTTAATGGAAGGAACGGGATGCGAGGGCGGAGTATGGGGGGCAATGACCCATGTTTACTTGTTAAGTTATTATTATGATTATTATTGTTATTATTATTGTTTGCTAAATAAAGCTGTGGACATATTTCCCCATATCCTCTAGTATGTGCGTTATTGGGTTGGGTTATGGGGTGGTTGTCCTGGATTCCGACTGCCCAAATGGCGACTATACACCTGTCATGTGAGACTGGCTGAATGCGTGCACAGCTCCTGCCGCGCATGTGCATTCAACCGAAGAGGAGGAGAGGAGGAGGAGAGCGAAGGGGTATGTTTAACCCCTTCCTCTCCATCCAGCCTGGCGGTAGGGGGTCCCTGAGGGTGGGGGCACCCTCAGGGCACTATAGTGCCAGGAAAACATACTCCTTTAAATATGGGGTCCTTTAAATCTGGGATAAAATGCTGGAAAATGTCACATCACATGTTACAAAATATGTTACATTACCCGATTCTACCACAAAACATTCCAGGAGAAATAAATGTCTTTGCAGGGATAGATTTACACATCGGGTACCTTAGGTATAAAATTCTGTTTGCTCCCCAAAATAAGGCAGACAAACTAGGAATAATACATTTATTAACTGGACATTGCAGGCCTTTTAACATCTAAAATCCGTATTCGTATTTTACAGCTGCCATATGTAACCCTTTAAATACACATGACGGAAAGTTCCATCATGATTCCTTTTTTATTTCCGAAGCCGTGTCCTTTAAGGGGGTATATATATATATATGCCTATTTATGCTTGTAATGTATTATGCTTGAATCTGTGAGTATGGTGAGTGTATGCAGCTGTGTAAACACACGCAGAGTACAAGATAAAAGTGCATATGGTATAGAAGGTTTAAGGTTAGAGACGCATACCTCACAAGTGTCCCTATTTAAGAGGGACAGTCCCTATTTTCTAATTAGATGACCACCTTTGCCTAATTGTGATGTCTGGTACATGGCATATAATGTTTCCTTACAAATTCTTACTAATTCTTTCCCAGTGACAATCGCATTTCCAATAAGTTAGAAGAAGGAACCAGAAAAATACAGTAAACTTTCTTAGGGTTCTGGATTATATTGCCAAGCAGTGATATCCCCTTCCGTCCTTTATTTTTATCATTCCGTTTTTATTGTATCCAAAATTATATAGTACATTAGTTAGCAATAAGAAAAGTGTCAAAGAAAGAATGAGAGACAGAAGGAGTTATAAACTCTTCAATTCTAGTAAAAATGACAAGATGTAATATACAACATTCCATAGGAAATATGAGACGCGTGATCAAAGCAGTAAGGCAAACCTTTCCAAAGATAAATGTATAATCATATAACCATGTGGCAAATACCGCTAAACTGGTTTAGGAGTACAGGAACCAAAAGAAGGAGAAGAGAGAAAGAGGAAAAAAAGGGAGTGGGATAAAAGTCCAGAAGGTAGATAATGAAGATGGGATTGGAGAGAAAGCATGGACTACAGACCCAACACCAAGGCCCTGGAAAAAAGGTACATACGGACAGGCCAGATTAAGCTAGGCTCTCTAGAAACTAAGAATAAAACTATGCACTGCATTGACTAACAGGGAAAGTACTGGTATTTCTGGATTGGATTATTATTAACTTGCAACAGATGTGTTTCTATACTGAGTGGGAGAAGGGAATCCATCAACTCGGAGATCACCTTATGGATCAGTGTGCAGGTCCACCAGGGAACCCAGCTCCTTGTTACATCTCCAGTATTCTGGATCAACTGGATCAACTGAATACATGCGAATCGGAGTCTCAGGGTGCGGTATCAATGTGTAAGCAATTTGTAACCTGCCTTGTGATAGTGGGTGTTGATGGATGATTTGTGTAGGAGTAGGAAAATTTGTTTCCACCCTAGTGTCCTTTATATACAACGATCAGCCAACTTCCTCATTCCTCTTTTACAAGGGAAGTTATCTCTGGTCAACTTTGTATTAATATAGAATATTGTCCAGGGATGTGGAATAGTCCCCCTTCCTGTGTAGTATCGCAGTCCCTCCGAGTCTATGTTGGCTGTTGTGAGCACTCCAGACTGCAGGCACAGCTCTGGAAACTTCAGAGAGGTGGGTTCCGTTCTGCAGACGTAATGACATTAAGTGACAGTACGCAAATTTAAAAAAATGTCCTCTTCCCTGTTGTCTTTTCTTTCTTTCTTTCTTCCTTTATTTAGTATTTTGTTCAGGTATTACTCTTACCACTGTAATCCTTGCAGGAATAAATTTATGCTTTTGAAATTTTTCAAAATTCTCCAAAAAACATTGCATTAAAAAATAAAAACTCAACTAAAACAAATGTTCAAAACATATAGCACTCACATAAACACTGTGCCGCTCAGGTAACTATGCACATAGTACTTTCAACTACAGTGGCACAATTTCCTCTCTGGTAAACCAACTTCTTCTCAACTTTGACATCTTACATTTCCTTGCCCACTTAAAAGCTTATGAGGTATGCTCGTTGGTCATTCGCTCCTGGGATGTTTTTCCCATTAAGCCAGAGAGTTGGCCAAAAGGAAACTGTGGCGAAACCAACCTTGCCACTATGTTCTGGAGAAGCCTGGTTGTCTGCTTGCTGCCCCTGGACTATGGCCCTGTGTTAAAAAGCTTAATTTTCCCCTGCAGAAAGGCTTGTTTGTGCCTTTCTGCCCGGGCGTTCGGTAAACTGACTTTACCGAACCAACTCATGAATGAACGGACCACCTGGGTAAGGAGTGTGCCAGTGATTTACCTCCCAGAAGCTGCGGTTAACCACAGCTTAATTGACGAACGCTGGGTGGCCGCTGTTTGTATAGCCGAACATGTGTCAGCGGCCATCTTAAACTCACGAACGGCCAGCGGTGTTCAGCTCCAAAACTGTGGAACTGAAAATGGACAGTAATATTCACGAATACCGCTGAGCCGCTGACCTCCCTTCTCCTGCACTCATTCATACGAACGCCGGTCCATTCGGTACTTTGATTGAGTGAACAGGGCTACCCCAGATAGCTATGCCATGGAGCCCATTCGTATACAGAAAGACTATGTGAAAGACTTTGGCTCCATGGCGATTGAACTGTATGTATATGATCTGAGCGCCATTCGGTAATAATGTGCGCTCATATCTAAGCTATCTGGGGATAGGTTGAACGTATATGTTTTAGGCAGTATTGGTAACATTGTATATTTTTATGTCTTTTTACTGCCATGTGTAATGGAGTTTAGCCTCTATCCTTGGAGATAATTAAGTTACTTCCCAATTATCTCCAGGATAGAGAGGAGGGATTACAGTTTGCATGTGGGAGTGTTTACTGTTAAACTGTTTCTATTGGTCAGAGTACAATTTGTGTCCCAGTCTTCCACCAGGTCCCCTATGGGAGTGTCCACCTGGTGGAAGACCTGCATAAATACCGGGCAGGTAGCCCAGATTAAACAGATCACTGCTTGACCCTCAACATGGAGCTTTGTCTCGTTCTTGGGGGGATTGATAATTATATGCCTTGCATGTTCGACTGCTAGAAGTGTAAACCTTTCATATGGTTTTTCCTATTTGGGAGTTTGGAGCATTCGAATGGTTCCGTTACAGAAACATTCCCTGGTGGAGATCTCTGCCTTGCAATCTGTTCCTCTCCTATTTTAGTTCTCTCTTTCTCTTCATCCCTCCTTCTCCACACTTCAACCACCTCTGCACCCTTTATCCAGATCACACACCCTCATTTTTCTTTCTCAAATCTTTTTTTTTTTTTTTTACGTTTATTTTAATTTTTTTTAGAAGATTTCCAAAAAAAAATATTCATTTTGGAATTTTGTACTAAAGATAACTTTTTGAGCATCTAGCATTTTAATTCTGGCTTTTGCTATTACTGCTTATTAAAACTGTGATTACAAAAAGCACCAAAACGTTCTATCAAAGTTATATGGAACAATTTAATTTAAGTATCAGATACTGACCATGAGGACCATGTTTTTTTAAAAACATCTACTAACCAATATTTTACCTACCGTAGAATAAACTACAGGACCTTAATAACCCAAGACTTTTTAATGTGTCATTAAAAAATGTAAAGGGACCCTATAGGCACCCAGATCACTTCAGCTCATGGAAGTGGTCTGGGTGCAGTGCCCCTATTAGTTTAACCCTGCAATTGTAATTATTACAGTTATTGATAAACTACAATAATTATTTTGTCAGGTTAACTCCACCTCTAGTGGCTGTGTACCAGACAGCAACTAGAGGCATTTCCTGTTGGTTAAGGGACTTTTTGTAGGCGAACTGATACTGGACGTCCTTACACTCTGTATAAGAACGTTCAGCATCAGCTAAAACCTGATAGGAAAGCATTGGGGTAGTCCTAATGCGTTCATGGTGCTCCCCGCGCATGAGCATTAGATGCCCCTCAGGCTGATATCGATGGAGGACAAGGGGAATCAGGTAAGTGATAAAAGGGTTTTAAAGTTTTTACCCCTTTCAGTGCCATGGGTGGGGGGCGGGGCACAAGGTAGGGGGGTTCTATAGGGTACGGTAGTGCTAGGAATTCAACTTTGTATTAATAGCACCATAGCTTCCCTTTAATCTGGAGCCGAAGACATTATGTCAAAACTCCTTAT